TGAGGGGCGCCCACGAGGGAGGGTGCCCTGCAGGGGCGCGCGCGCGGGCTGCAGCGATCTCCCGCCGTGGCCGGGGCTCGGGTTTCCTTCCCATCTTTGCCTGCGGACTCTCCAAGCCGCGCGCACGCTCGGGTGAGGTCGGAGGCTGCCCGGCTGCTGCTCCTGGGGCTGCGGCCACAGCTGGGAAGGTGGCGGGTGAGAGGGGCTTGCAGCCGCTGGCACCGGCAGAGCCTAGGTGTCAGTCCCCCCTCTCTCCGACTGCTGTGACCGCCACAGCCGAGGGACAGGCGGAGTGGCCGGTGCTGAGCGTGGCTTCCCCACGGGGTGCCTACCTCATTGGCCACGCAGATGCTTCCAGGCCCTGCTGCGGAGTGGGTGCTCCTGGATGGGGAAAGTTCAGGGGTCATCCAGCTTCCAGAGTGCCAGGGCCTGGGCTGGGAACCTGCTGGCAGAAGGGAAAAGTCAGACAAGCCAGTACTTGTTCAGCGCACACGCAGGAGTTACCGGGCTCAGTGGCTGGGTCACGTCTGTTTGAGGGGACGGGACCCAGAGTGGCCTGGGACTAGATCTGAATGTCTTTCTTGCAAAATCTGCTTCAGTCATTTGGGGGGCGACACGGGGCTTGGGGGTGGCAGGAGAAGGTGGACAGAGGGTTTGGTGTTGCCGGCTGTGGACAGGGGCTCTGCCCTCCGGGTTGGCAGTAACACTGCAACTCCTAGAAGATGCCAAGTGGCACTGTTCATGAAGCGTGGTGGTTCCCCCACCTCCCCGGGTCTGTCTCAGTGGGGCCTGGTAGAGAAGGGAAGGGAAACAGGGGTGCAAAGAGTAAAAGTGGGTTGGCAAGTGGGTGAGAGGAAGATGGAAGAGCAGAACCTTGGGGCAGGAAGAGCCCCTCAGAGGAAACAGGAGAGAGGGGAACTCGGCAGGGGTGAGGTGATAGGCTCGAGACTAAGATCAGGGGCTGGACGTGAGACCATCGGAAGGGCGCTGGGTCCACGCATGCCCAAGTCTCTCCTTGTCGATGGGGAAGATGGAACAGGATGGAGGCAGCTGATAGTGGACCTCTGGGCTGGGCGGACACATCCCTGCATCTCTTGGGAGCCTGCCGCTGAGATTCCTTCTGGCTGCCCCAGAGGCTGAGGCTGGTGGATGGGTGGGAGGGAAGAAAGGAGGGGGAGAGTCAGCCCAGCCT